AACCCATGTAAACTAAGATCAACTGCGATCGGCTGTGAAAATTATCTGCTGAAAGTAAACTTGTAAGTTTGTTTGTCCGAATTTCGCCTTTGTCTTCGTTTTTATGCCGTCACGGCTGCGCTGCGCTATTTCGTGACCTCCCGCTAGTTGCAAACTGCCGGTCACGGACGGTGACTTTATTATTTCGTGAATTCCCGCTGGCTGCAAAGTACCGATAAAGGCTTTTCATCTGCTTTGAAAGTGTTTTGATACAGCTAGGATATACGTACGAATCGCTATTATGGCTGAAAGAAGAGTTGTGTTAGCCATTGATGGGAGTAACTACAGCGACGAAGCATTTAACTGTAAGTAAAGCAATTCGAATGAAATGTTAAAAGTCTCGAATTCAATTCGCTTTGCTGCTACATTTTCCTTTCATCAAGCTGTAAAAAGAATGCGCTGCTCGTGGGCTACACTAAACAGACGACAAACACTACCGAACTGATGATGCTTTTTTATTTATGATATAGATTATTATGTGTTTTTAAACGATGCTTTACAAGCACGTACGTAAAGTATGCTTTATAAAATACAATCGTAGTCTTACTGCTGTACGCATATACTAGTCGCATTGCATGACTGGTTAATTCACAGGTGTCTACAACAACTTTTATACGATTGGCCAGCGATTGGCAAATTTTACATTGTATAAATCTCACATAATGAATAGGATCTTGACAATAGTGGAATAATGATATAAAATATAGCACTAGAGTGCAAACAATTAATCCGTGAAGCACTAATTACTAAATAGTACAAAATAGTGCTAATTAAACAATAGAAAACAATGGAATTTGCATGAAATTGTGCTATTTAGCATTACTAAAGTTTCACGGTTATATTGTTTGCACTCTAAAAAGAATTAACAAAGATGTCTGCTCTTGAGCCTTTTTGATTTGTCACCACAGCATGCCCAAACGAGAGCTTACAGGAGCTTTATTGGTAGCTGAATTTAATACTCTTTGCAAAATGTGCACTTTTTGTGTCATATGAATGGGAGTCTGACTTTCTGATATGTAATCTGTAAACTTCCTACTTTGTGGCATGTGTGTTTAATTCGTAAGAATGTAAAAATGTTTCTTTCTATTTTTTCAGTCTACTGTGAGAACTTGCACAAAGAAAACGATTTGATTCTTGTCATTCATGCTTTTGAACTGAACATAATCCCTACAGCATCCTATCCTTGTAAGTATATTGAGGGGGATTTTTTCAGTTGATGAAAGGCTCAATTAAATAAATGAATTTTTTGAATTTAGCCCGTTTTAAGTGGTGAGGGAAAAATCCTTAAAGCGAGCTAAATTCAAAAAATAACCACAGAGTGAAAGAAGTGCTATTTCTGAATAATCAAGTAAAATTTCAAGGCTATATTTCACATTTCAATGATTTTATTGAAATTTTTGAAGAATCCCCATGCATTTCCTTATAACATTACACCACAGAAACCAAGCTTGGGCTACCTGTGATATTTCCCCAATTTTTCTATTCAAAATAATATCAGTATTCAGAAATGATTTCTGAAATATTAGGATGAGAGGAAGGAAAATGGGGGAAAAAACCCCTTAAATCAAGGGAGAGACCTATAATAACAAACATCATTCACATGTGATCTGCTGAGTCTAGGAATCAAACCCAAACACTAGAGGTGAATGCTGAGTACTCTACCACTACACTACTTCTGTAATAAATTATTATGGAGGCTTGCTAGCTTATGAAAAGTGGAGCACTATAAACCCAAACCTGAAACTCTAACTATCAATTTTTGATGATTACCCTATTTTCTATTTGATATAAAATTAGCATTCAGAAGTAGTGTATCTGAAATATTAGCCTCCCTCCCCTCAATCCAAAAATTTCTCTGCAGTCCCAGCATTGTAAAATGATTGCAAAGACGTCCATCCAATATTTGAGATGGCTGGTCTTGTTTCCTTGAAGATGGCCTTGTTTATGCTGAACAGTGGAGCGACCTTTCCAGGGAGGCTAATGAAGAATCAGAAGAAGTATTAAGAAAAATAGGGAGAAAGTGTGAAGAACACAGTAAACAAAATGACAAGGTACATAATATATGAGTCTTTTAAACCACAATATGTGAAACAGTGCTAAAATTTATTTGGATTAAATGATGAAAATAGTGGAATATCTCTTTTTCCTATTGTTTCATCCAGGGCCATAGCCATCAATATGGGTGGTCCAGTTTTATACTGGAACACTTTTTAATGTCACAACCATTATTCTCCCTCATAAAATATTTATTGTGCATGACAACATCATACAGTCCTTTGACTAAACGTTGTCGTTTGATCGGCCTCATCCCTACGCGCCTAGACCGAAAAGGATCATGGGGATAATTAATTCACAGTTACTAGCTAGACCGCATATATTATCTAACACGCCTTGAGCAAGTTGTACTGGACTGGAAATACTAAATTTTTGGCTCTTATCCCCAAAGTAACCTATTTTGAAGCTACTATCTGTAGCCGGCGATAACTCGTCTGAACAACGCTCAAGCAGATAATCTTTTAGCGCCTGCACGTTGTCGATATTTGGGACATCCTTGATGGAATATGATGTGAAACGGCTCTTGTTTTCCTTGCGTAAAACGCGAAGACAAATGTGCACTTTGCTCTCCATTGTGCGATTGTCACCGACTGATAGAGAACAATTAATTATTCATCTTAATTTACCCGTTATCCTTTTTGGTCTAGGCGCGTAGGGATGATCCGATCAACGACAACGTTTAGTCAAAGGACTGCAAATAAAATAACCAGTTCACAAAATTAAATTGCACCATTGTCCAAATGGTGGTTACAGCCCTGTCCGTCCATAGTGCTATTTAGTGCAAACAATTTGAATAGCTATTGTTCTGCTCTGATTAGTGACTGACTAGCCTCTCTCACACACGTGAAAAGGCCATTTCCATGTGAACAACTGGCTAGTCAGTCGCTATTCAGCGTGGAACAAAAGTTTTTCTTTTTTTCCCTAATAATAGTCCCCTTCACATTTCCCTGCGCCGTCTTGAAAGCTAGCTGTGCGAACGTTGAGCTTGCAGTGGTAGAGACGTGAATAATTGTCCAAGGTATTGAAAAACGGTCTCCATCATTCCAAGTTCTCCTGAAATAAAAAATCGCACTTTGTAGAATTTTTATGTTTCCGGCCAAGCTATAAAACCTAGTGAACGGCGGAAAATCAACCAAAAACTTAAATTTTACTTTTAAAAATGCAGATTTTATCTAAATAATAGCGTTTCCTTGAGGATATAGGATAAAGGGTCATGTAAAAACTTTTCTTCACACTGCAATTATTTCTTAGTTTAAATTTGAGCTGTACAAAGAAGACGGGAAACCTGGAGAGGTCATTTGCAAGTTTGCCCAAGACAAGAAAGCCGAAATGATTGTGATTGGTTGTCGTGGCCTCGGTGCTATTGGACGTACTCTACTGGGTAGTGTGAGCGACTACTGCGTGCACAATGCTCACATTCCAGTTGCTGTGGTACGTTCGTCGTCTCCTGAGGAACACAAGAAGTAATTTATTATTAGAAAGATTTTTTTGTGCGGATTTCTTGCAAATACAGCTACACTGTAGTTTCCCTGCTAGCAGAGCCTATTTTCCTTTTGTTTTGGTGGAGTGAGAAAAATAGACTCTGCCGATGTAGGACGTTATACTTGTCGCGTATGCGTGGCGTAACTTAGAAACGCTGTCATTTTCACGTTTGGCGCCACGGTGTGTTACATTTGCTCATGCGCACTACATGTACCTGTACATGTACATGTACACTACATGTTTTAAAACTGGTTTCGTTTGTCTCAAAGAAAACGCTCTACATCGGCAGTCTCCCTCCTCCCCGCCTAAAAGAAGGGAGAGAAAGAGAAGAGAGACTCTGCTAGCAGCAGAGTTATTAGAGGGGAACTGGTTAGGAGACCCGGCAAACTTCAAAGGGATATGTCTTAGTTACGGATTTTGCTTGGTCATGTGGTCACGACCGTGCACACAAAATCTAGACAAGCGAGTAGCGTAGTAGTTTCTTAGAGAAGTCTTGCGATATTTATAGTTAGTTTTTTCGATTTAAACAATAATTTACCCTATGGATTAGATGCTGATAGTCAACTCTGGCTAGCAGGGAACACTGTAGTATATACCAGTTTCAATTTCCAATGTTTTTTTTTTTCCTTCTCTAAACTTACCGGCAATAATAGAGACGGTATTCAGTAAATGAAGCTATTGTATCCAACAAGTCTTAGCTGACCGTTTAAAAGATGCATAACATATAGACTACATGGTTCTTATCTTGCTACTGATAAATCAAAAGGGTAAATCACATCCCCTTTAATTTTAAGGTATTAAAAAGCATTTTATTAGGTTTGCATCTTATTAGGTTTGCATCTTATTAGGTTTGCATCTTATTAGGTTTGCATCTTATTAGGTTTGCATCTTATTAGGTTTGCATNGAAGAACCATTGCTTATCTGGATCAAGAGAAGCACCATGCACTTGAATGGGCCGAAAAGCATCGGACAGAGAACACTCCGCCATCGCTTTTCGGCGGCAAATGCTGCGTTTGAACAGGTCATCTTACAAATAGAACTTGAATTTCCCGCCTCAGTCGTGTATTAACTTATATTTTCATTGAAAAATATTAACATTTCACACCAGCAAAAGTTGTACTTTGCTCAGCTTTGTTCATTCTTCGACTTACTTCTTGTTGTTATGGGTGCCGCTGACCAGAAAAAACACTGGCTTATAAACATAAGTTCATTGTTATGTCACATAAAAGTCAGTCAAAGATCGATTACAAACTAATGACTTAATAAGTTGACCAAAGATGAAGTCTAAGTAAATGAAACCGGTCTCCACCCAAAATTGGGACTGCAAATTGCAAACTAGTCTTTCATGGCACTCTCGTACAAATAATAAACAAAGCGTCAGTCAATAATCATAATGATCAGATAATTTACGCGTACATAGTTTAGCAGTATTGATGCATTTAATTCAAGATTGCACACGAAATTGGGTTTCCTTGCCGTTGTCTATAATAATGTTTCCCACGCAGYCCAGCTACCTCTCTGTTAACAAAAATAAACATAGCACGGTGCAATTAACACTTTTTATAATGTTGCATTGTTCCTGGGAGTGGTAAACTCCAAGATGATGAACAGATCCCTTCCGGGAGGCAAAATAAAGACTGCTTTCTTCTAATTGCATAATGCGATTAATAGGATACTGTCAATGCACAGTCTTTTCTGATTGGTTCGGCTATATTGGTGAACCTACCTACAAATTACATAAACAAAGTCGCGCCACTTTATTTGTGCGGCGTTCTTCAAGATACATGCAGTATGCCTAAACGAGGTAGAGAAAGATGGCGGGATCCCGCATACACATGTAGGGATTGCGAAGCAGTAAGTATATATCTTGAATAATGATTTCAAATGAATCTTTCGCACCTGCTAAAACATAACTATCTACTTTCTAGTACTATGCGTCGTACAGTCAAGAGGAGAGGGAGAGGCGAGTACAGACCTCGTGCAGGCACAGATCAGAGCACAGGCCTGCACCCAGAACACCCCCAGGTTTCTGGAGCATCGACTTCCCCACATCTCCAGAAATCTTGGCATCGGGGATGATGATCGATGGTAAGTCCTTTCCGTATCAATTCTTCATGCCGCGCGTCGCAATCGTCGACGACTGGAATATGAATGTGCGAGAAATATACTTCTTTAGATCAATGTTTTTRTTATTTTGATCAGTACCTATCCATTACCAATGTACAGTACTAAATTTAAGCCTGTAATAGATTTGGAAAGATATTTATTCTACAATAGATTTTGATGTAGCGTCTTGAATTTTTTGGCGGGTTTTTAAGCCACGTGACCAGTTAGAGCATTTGTTCAAGGAGGCTGAAATCTTTGTGCTCGGACTTTGTGCGCGTATGAGATTCATAGAGCSGKTGCAATATTATCTTATTAATATARAACTCTTGACTTTATATACTTTAGGGAACAAGAGGATAAGGTTTTTGATATTAAATGAATTTTGTTTCGCTAAATGAATAAACGACATCCATTATTTTCTTACTACAGCCACAAATGAACCGCTGCCGCCTCTTACAGAGGAGCARAAAAGGAGGAGGAGAATGAAGAGGAAGAGAAGACTTGATTTCCTCGAAACAGAGAAGAAGAAGAAGGAGGTGAAGGAGAAAGAGAAGAAAGAAGAGAAAGAAAAACAAGAAGATATATAAAAATTGATGTGAGTAAACCTCCAAATATAGGCCCGCATTATGTATTTCTTGACGTGCTTATTTTTGGAGGTTTACGGTATAGTAGAATCTTTTTGTCAAACTGATATTTTATATTTATAATTTCTGTACTTAGATTTAGGTAATTTCTGCGGCAAACGTTGTCATGATTAATTCACTGTAATAAAATACTAAAAAAGGAATCTTGGTTTTATATATTTAGTAGCAAGGGAAGTTTGTTTAAAATATCTGCGCGCGATTTATAAAAAACGAAATTCCTCTCAAGTTAGCCTGAGGCATAATAACTGCGAAATGAAAGAAAACCTGGCTACTTTACCGGTTCAGGGTTATGAAAGTGCTTATAATCAATATCACACAGTGCGCCATCTCTGATTACAAAAAATACCTTATATTGACAACAGGATTAACACGTACACTACATGATGGACGTTACTTCACACCTAAAATATATCTCCCACAGAGGTTTTTTTTCTTGGGCAAAGCTCGTCATGGTGAAGATATCAATTTTTCGAAATAGAGAAAAATAGATATTTCATTGGTAATTATATAATAAAGATAAATATTATTTCTCAACTCAAATCTTAGGACTTTTTGTCTCAAGAAGCAGACCGCGAACGCTTAATCCGTAAAAAAATCATTTTGCATTGTCTATCGGTTTCTATTAACCTCTATAAAGTGTTTGCGGGAAGCTGAAGCTGCCTCGTACCTTCGAAAACAAATGGCGAAATGAATTTTTATTGATTTGTTTAGAGTGATTTCATAAACCCGTGAAACAAAATTTAGCTATTAACTTCTATTAATAACACTTAGTTTAAATACACAGGTGATTATTGAAAATCTCGCGCGCTGATTGGTCGAAAAACTCACACTATCGCAGGATAATCACCTCCAGCGATAATCCAAAATGGCGGCCAGCCGCTTTGTTGCTGTTACCGGGAAAAAGTGTCTTTTATCTTCTTTTTTTCTTCTTTTTGAAACAATCACCTGTGTATCTTATACTAAAACAATTATTCATCTCGGGCTCAGTGAATATCGGGAATAATTTAATAACCTTAACTTCGTTTCGGTTATTATTGCCCTATATTCACTTCGCCTTCGGCGAGTAATTGTTAAATATTAATGTTTGATAGTGGTTATTAGTGAGACAACTAAGTATTGACTGTTTTTTATTACTTCGTAATAAATGAGTAATAACTAATGAGTAATAACTCGTACTAGTTTTAATGATTATTACGCTAACATTTATTTCACGGCTTTATGAAAATCACTATCATTTTTTTTACATTTTTGGCTATTATCGATAAATTGTCGGAAACTAGTCGTGAAACCTTCGTCAAGTCACGAGTGTGTTGCGTGATATACGGTTTTTCTCACCCGATGTCTGTACCTGACTGTACTTGTTGAAGCGAGCGGTCTCAGGAGCAAGAAAAGGCAATAAGAGATTTGGTTCAACCAACCACAAATACACTGATATCATGGGCGAACGAAAGGTTGTAATAGCAGTAGATGGTAGCCCTCACAGTTATAATGCTTTTCAATGTAAGTATAACGAAAATATTTGTGTCTCAACTAGCTCGTCTGTTGATCTATCAAATGTCGCCTCACACAAAGAACAAAGTCTTCACATATTTCAGCATCCACCCACGATTTATCGATATTATAGTCCAAAAAAAGACTGGGTAAATTATTGTAGACATTTTAAAGTCTTTTGGGCGGGTAAAATTATTTTTCTACAGATTGCATGACTTTTTTTGGACTGAGTTTGGCCGATATGTAAATATGGCATAAAGATAAGAATTGGGTGAACGTTTTGTACAAATTATGTACAAACGTTCATACTAGTATCGAATCCTTTATCGACAGAGCCACTATATGCAAAAAGTTATTTTGACCTCAAATCATATGTTGAAAATTATATATTACTGCATTATTATAGCACTGGTTTAGATTGGTTTACATTTACATGCAAGGACAATTATTGTACTCGTGAATAGTCAAAATGAAACTGCATTATTTTTCATGAAAAGTTCGTTTGATATGTTGGAAAAATTCTTTCCTCGGAATCCAAGCTTACCAGCTGCTCTAATGATAGATAGAGCTATTATGAGATTTATGCAAATACACGTGGCAATCTGTATCGAGCTGTAAATATGAGTGAAGGTACTCGGAGCCAACGGGGGGTGAGGGCTGGTATGGCAATTATTCATTGGGGGTGGGTGTTACAGTCAAACTACCTCAAGCGTGAACACGTAGAGGTCATTAATGACTTTATTTTTGGATTCTTGATTTCATTATTCGATTTGAACATTCATTAATGAAAACGAATCTTCAATATTCAAAAAAWAAWAATAATTTGAAAATTCGATTAACTTGGCTTGTAGGCTCTTGTTTATAGCGCAAACAGAAGGTAAGTCATTAATATAACATATTCCTTGCACAAAAAGTTGTTTTTGCATTTCAGTTGCATATATGCTTGGCTTTTGTATATGCCAGGCTTTGAAGATTCGTTTTCAATAATGAATCGAATAATGAAATCGAGAATCCAAAAATAAAGTCATTAATGACCTCTACGTGTTCAGGCTTGAGGTAGTTTGACTGTAAAGAAAAGTCCTGTGCTGCATAAGAAATGAAATTTGAAAGGTACTCGGAGCCAAGGGGGGGTGAGGGCTGGTATGGCAATTATTTATTGGGGGTGGGTGTTAAAGATAAGTCCTGTGCTGCATAGGAAATGAAATTTGATATAAAATTAATATAAAAAATCAAAGTGTCATCATTCATTAATATATTTGTCATTAATTTCTATTTATTGAATATTGTAAATATGCATTTTATTAACTTCTAATATTTTATTATATGATCATTACTATTATTATTTATTTATATTTATCATATTTATTTTTCTAGTTTTTATNAAGACCACTTTCCATCTGCATATTGTAGCATTTTTAACAATCGCTCACCCATATCCCTTTTTTGGGGGATTTGCTATTTTTTTGGTTATCTCTTTTTTTTTTGGTTCTGCTATTTTTTGGTTACCTTTTTTTTTTTGGTTCTCCAAATCATTGCCTGTGCACCTCCCCTGCAATATCCCTGGTTACGCCCCTGCTTATTTAGCCGGTTTTAGTCTACCGTGCATTACATGAAAGACAATAAGAAAGAACTGAACGAATAAATTAACAAGTTGCGCGAAAAAAATGATTTGTGGTGTGAACGCTGCAGTGGAAGTGGTAAATAAAGAATGTATAAGAGTGCATGTGAGTGCTATAGTTTCAATGGTGCGCATTTGTCAGTAATCCACAGGAATCCCATCAACACAAGAGCCTAACTTTTCTTTCAGTGTTTAACATCTCAACAAATCTCAACATCTGACTCGTCCCCAGTCGTCTCCCACGTATTTTTTTTCCAGTCGCAAAGGGTCAAGGCCGGAAGAAAGAAGGGCAAGATACTCTCCCTTCCCCTTCCCTTGACCCTGGGCGCACTGCCGATATATCAGAGGGATGTCTAACCCTGCTCGTAGGGTATATAGAGGATATTACATGGGCGCGCGGAGATACGAAATCTATCTTCGAGTGTTGAAAAGATCTCTCACAAGTGAGCGCAACGAACGAGTGAGAGATTTTCAACACGAGAAGATAAATTTCGTATCTCCAAGCGGCCATGTAATATTCTGTTTATTATATAATTATCAATGAAGTATGTTTTGGCTTTTTCAGGCAATTCTTTCCTTGTATTTTTGAATAGCCATCGCAATGGGATTATTTTCACACGTGAAAATAATATGTTATTTTCACCATGACGAGCTTTGCACAAGAGAAAAAAATATGCAAATGAGCTTAGGAGCGATTCAATCGCTCGTAAACTAAAGTTAATTGGAATATGAACCCCTAAAATCAACACAAACACCACGGGTGTTTGACAGCAAAAGCCGTATAATGTCATTTGACGCATCATCAATACACTAGTTATTTGCCCATTTGGAAAAGCTCATGTTTGGAATGCGTGATGATTTGATTCTGTTGCATTATTCACTCGATCATTTGATTGTTGTAAATTTTATCAAACAAACCAAAAATATACATCAGTAGATAATGAAATGTGTATCTAGAGAATATCAAATTAACTTATTTGACACAGAAACAAATTATCGGTATTAAAATAATGAGTAACTGCATTGAAGAAAAAAACATTTATAGCACGATTCAAGCCATTACCTACAACAGTGTAATAAAGTACAGAATGATTATATATCATGAATGGAAACAAGCAAACTATATCATAAAACTGGCCTTAACGTCTAATAATGATGGTCGCTTATTTGAATTGTCCGATAAGCACTCGTATACTAATTGCGGTACTTGAAGCTTACGACGTTCTGAAACAAAAGTCACCATTTTCCCAAAGGAGTACACATCACTGCTTACACTAGGCGGCGCTGAACCTTTCATTACCTCTGGAGCAATATAATGGTCTCTATAGTTCAGTCTAGGCGATCGTCGCCTCGCGAGACTAACTTCTACGCTGCATCCAAAATCAATTATGACCGGATTGTAACTTGTATCACTGAACTTTTCCAGYACAACATTATTTGATTTAAGGTCGTTGTGTATAATGCCCCGTTGATGTACATGCTGTAAGGCATCAGCAACCATACCAAAAATCTCGTACCAGGTTTTGATGTCCAGCGGAGGATTCGCCCTCGTAGCGTCATAAAGCGTAACATTGGTGTTTTGTTCTCCGTGGTATAAAAGGACAATCTTTATAGGCTTTTGTTTTATACACACGCCAAATAAAAAAGGAAGGCCCTTGTGATCTCCMAGGTTCTGTATCATATGAGCTTCGTGCCTTGCTGCTTTCTGTAACTCTGGCAGTTTCTTTTGACCATYATTATCTAAATACTCTTTCACTGCTACAAYAAGGCCGCGATATTTTGCCAGAAAACAACGGCCATATGTGCCTTGACCAAGCGGTCTTGCCTCCTCAGTGATTGTAATGAGAGCAGGATCTAGTTCTTTTAGTTCGGCTTTTTGATTTGCTYGCTTGTTTTCATTTCGACTTTGGATTAGAGGAATAACTCTATCTGTCTGGCGTTCTTCGCGAACTCTTTGAAGCGCTGCATCGACCATTTGACGACCACGGAAATTCGAAGGTCGAGTAGAAATGGACTGTGCTCGTGAAACAGAATGTGCCTGAGTAGAGGCATTCACTTTTGTTATGCGAGCTTTTGCCTGCAATTCAGCTATTTCCGTGCTATATTCTTTTAAAAGCTTGTCTTTTTTTCCCTGCTTATTTGCAGCACGTTCTTTTGTTTTCTTCCTGGCCATCCATTGTTTTCGTTTTAGTCGCTTTATCTCCTTTAGTCTTTTAAGATGCCTCTCAGTCTTATCTTTGTCTTTCCTAACTTTCTTCATAGTTATACTTTCACAGTGTAAGCTAAGTTATCAGGGTGCGTTTTCACTAGGCCGACAATTAAAGGCAACTCCTTTCTAAAACACCGGAAATAACACCATTTTAGACTACCTAAACAGCTGGTTTGATTTGTTGGTCAAGTAAACACAATAGCCAATCATTATTAGCAGTATTTTGGATTCCTTAACATCCGATTTGGTTTAGTTTGCCTACTCTTGTATTGAGGCATCGTTTCGGTTGACATTTGTTAAAGTTTCTTTGTCAGAATATGCCTCCTTTCAACATTTCTTGTCAGACTTGTGGAAAACAATTCCGAACAACACATTCCTTAAAAAAACACTGGCTGCAGAAACACCCTCGCATTAATCGTCCAAAAGTTTTTTCAGTTACCGCCGACGCTCGTGAAGTTGACATTCCTCAGCCTGAACGAATGTCGAAACGATCTTTGATCTACAAGAACTATATGCTATGGTTAGACACTGTTGTTGAAAGAATTAACAACACGCTTCATCCAAAGGCCCCAGGTATATTTTTGATTGTTACTTACGATTATAACGTTGGACTGACTGAGTGTTTATCAATATATCAAACACGCGATCGCGTTCTTCCTTTAGTCGTATCGAAGGACGAACTTTTTCGATTGTTTGAAATTACTTATCAATTTCACGAATATTTCTTGGAGAAAATCAAAGAAAACTTTGCCCAAATTTAATTCAAATTAAGAACACATCGAAACCACTGTCAGAGTAGTGAATTTCTTTGTTTTTCCTCATTAAATATTCATAGCAATGCTACAATTACCGCAATGCTTAATAATCTATCATATTTATAGTTAAATCGTATTTGATTTGCCTATTTTAGCCAAATGGAACAAAATAGAACTGCTCCACGTTCCGGTGGAGTATCTCAAGCAGTTGCTTGCAGATATTGGGGACATCGAGGTCAACGCGGTCAAGGARGTTACACATTGGCGTCCACCAATTATGTGCTCCTCGGCAACTAAAATAACGTACAGGACCTACAATCTGGAGCGAGTAGAAGGTACTTTTAGTACGAAAAATGTACCGCTGAGAAAGAGTTGCAACTGGAGTGGSCACGAAGAGTTAGAAGACACAGAAATGCCCGAGATCCTCACAGCGGAAGACGCAATACAGGTTGCAATGACCCGGGGTAAGAGAAAACGCATGACGTGCAGCTCTGAACTAAAAATTGATCAAGACAAACCCACAAGGGAATATGACCTCATCTGGTGGTCGGACTTATATAAAACACAAGGATATGGAAAACTTTGCCTTAGATTTTATGTAGGAAAAGTTGTCTTCGAGTAAATTTCATTTAATTTTATGTATTCCATTTCTTCTGTAATAATACATAAATGGAAAAAGGAAACCTAGTAATAATGCTTACATGACTGACCCAAGTAGACACCAGGTGATACATCACACAGACATACAGGTGTGCAAGGCACCCAAGCACATCTGTTGCCTACAGGTCTCTAAAGCTTTGCTACTTTTATAGTTAGAGTAACANTTTATTAACTTCTAATATTTTATTATATGATCATTACTATTATTATTTATTTATATTTATCATATTTATTTTTCTAGTTTTTATTTAGTATCCTTGTGATACCACAGGTAGCCCAAGCGTGGTAATTCTGTAGTGTCATGTTATAAGAAAATGTATGGGGATTCATCAAAAACTTCAATAAAATTGTTGAAACGTGAAATAAAGCCTCAAAATTTTAACCGATCATTGAGAAATAACATTTACGATACAAAGATTCCCATCGTGACCTTGGGTCGGTTGCTGAAGGAAATCCGTTGAACTGGTGTACAGTGAGCTCCAAGTACGGGTCAGAACAAGCGAGGTAGTTTGTGAATACAGGCAAATTTCATGGCTTAAAGACGTGAAGACTAATCTCTAATGGGCTTTCTCAGTTCTATAGGGATGTTAGAGAAGGGTTATGACTAAAATTTGGCGCTGGAAAGAAAATTCGAAGAGGTACAAGGTATCAAAGACTCGTGATGGTTCGCTTTTGGGATCCCGAGTCTCCAACCTTCTCTTATTTCTTACTGGTGGGGAAAAAATCCTTAAAACAGGCTAAATTCAAAAAATAACCACACAGAGCGAAAGAAGTGTTATTTCTCAATGATCGGTTGAAATTTCGAGGCTTTATTTTACATTTCAACGATTTTATTGAAGTTTTTGATGAATCCCCATACATTTCGTCATAACATGACACCACAGAAACCAAGCTTGGGCTACCTGTGGTGATATTCATGGTGTTAAGGATGATAAAGATAGATGTAGATGTAGACTTCTTTGAATTTCAGACTCATTTACAGTTTGAGACTATGGAACCAAAACAATGAACCAAAATTAGTGCCTAATTTTATTGATCTGCAATTAGAGCCTAAGGGCAATAGGGTCAAAACAACAGACTATATGAAAAAAGAGCGTATGACTGGGAACAAGCACCATGAACGATTCATGATTTCAAAATTTTTTTTCATTACAAGAAATACCATTTCTAAATAATACTTAGTAATTTCGGAAAGTTCTGTTGTCATATATTAAATCCCTGAAGAGTTATAAGCATTTGAAAAATACCAAAAACATGATAGCAAGGCTGGTAGGCCCTTGGTTGTTGTTTCCATACAAACCTTTCTAATTTCAAACAGCTGTACCTTTTTATCATTTAATGTTACTACACTGAAATTTTGGATCACTAATTTCGATATACTCTTTTTAACGAAAGCATTGTTGTTTTCTATAACTGATGAACTAAGGTATATCAAGGGACACACCCTTTTTCACATTGTCTATAGTCCACAAATAGGGGTGTATTTTATTAATCTTGGTGGTGGTGGGCCCTGAGAGATCTGTTGAAATGATGGATACTGCAGGATATTCCCAGTGACTAATTCTGTGCATAAATAATGTTGTTAAGTATACATACAAGAATTACTAGAACTCAGGCATGAGAAGGACGCCTTGTTGTTTTTATATCTACTCCAACAGTTTCGAACAAAGCAGGGGATTTTCTCAATGTGTTTTGGAAGCTTCCTGCTGTGAAGAAAATCACAATGATCAAGAGGAATGCCTGATTATCATAAACGTTTAGACAAATTGAACAGGATTTTATGGATTTTAAAGAATTGTGTGTGATTGACCTGATTGTGCAGATCTGCAACTGTGCAGCCTGTCAGTTGCCCACTGTGACCTACATTAACTTCACTTGTTGGTTATAACATGCGCATAATGTAGAGTTATGCAGAATATTTATTTAGATAAAGCTGGTTTTAATGGGATGTCTATCAAGTCTGTCATCAATGTCGTAGAAATAAGAACTAGATTGACATCCTTACACCAAAAGCTACTTTTTTATATGGCAGCAAAACTGTCAAATTTGATGTTTTTGAGAATGGGTGTAATATTGATGATTTTATCTCTTTGTTTATACAGTCTACTGTGAGAATATACACCAAAAAGGTGATTTAATTCTTGTTATCCATGCCTTTGAACTACCAACCATGCCTGCTGCACCCTATCCTTGTAAGTACCCATTAGATGTTTACTCAGCTAGTGTCAAGTGGTAGACTAAATTCTTGACAGAGTGGGGAAAAAAAGATCTCCCCTATAAAGCTTTTGTTTTTCATTGTCTACAATGTGCACTGGGACTGGAGGGGACTCCTATAAATACAAGGGCGGGGATGCTTGTCGTACCTTTTAGGGTTCAAGATCTGAAATCTGGTACCTCTAAGGCTGTAACAAATCTAAAAGGATTACCAGAAAGTAAGCCAGTACCTCATATGGTTTTTTTGAGGCAATAAGATATCTGATATTATATGACATTCAGAATGGCATTTGTAATTCAGGATATTTATTTCCAGTTCATTATCTGACTTCTTTCACTTAGATCATAGATAACCGGTACCTTTTAGGGATAAAAATAATTAGTTTGCATTTGCATGCCCAACTGGACAGGACACAGGTACCTTTTAGGGGTGATTTTCAAAATTTTGAATGAGCATGACCCCACCCTTCTATATATAGTAGGTCCCCCCCCCCCCCCCCCCCTTGTGCCCTAGGATTCAAGATTTAATTTAAAAAAAAACATTAACAGAAGATTGCAAATGAAAAATGAAGATTGAAAATGAAGAAAATTACAAATCCAATAAATAAATGAACTGAACTTTATGATATGGTTTATTTGTGGCGTGAAATGTGATGCCGACCCCCGTGTGTTGCCCTGGATTTTTTTATTGCAGAGATAATATAGTTTTATTCTCATTAGATGGCTTTGCTTACTATGAAGAGTGGAGTAATCTTGTCAAAAGAGCAGATGACGAAGCAAAAGAATTATTAGAAAGCATAGGAAGGAAATGTCAGCGACACAATAAGGAAGAAAGTGAAAAGCATCCTGGTGATGAAGACAAGGTAAAATCTGATATTCAAAAATTATGTCATAATATTATTAGTAAAAGCGGTGCAATAGGAGTGGTTCCATTTCATTTTTTTCTGGCAACGTTTTTAGGGACCACTTCAATTTTTTTCTGGGGACCTTTTTTTTCTTCTAGGGATTGGTTCAATTTTTTCCGAGGACCCTAACCTTTCATTTTTTTGGACCATCATAAGTTTTTAGGGGATCTTTTAATTTTTTTCTAATGACGTTTTCACATGTTGTGGGACTGCCTCAGGGGAGGAAATAGATGCAACCATGGAAAAATGTTCCCTAAAACAGTACCACAATGCACTGCAATGCCAACCCGACTGAGTTTTTTCTTCAACCTTGAAATGCCTAATAAAGTAACCCTTTTTACAATTTTTTTTCCTTTGTGTCCTCAGTATTGCTTCAAGCTGTTCAAAGAAAATGGAAAAGCTGGAGAAGTCATCTGCAAATTTGCTCATGATGAAAAGGCAGACATGATTGTCATGGGTTCTCGTGGTGTGGGCACGATTCGCCGTACATTCCTGGGTAGTGTGAGTGACTACTGTGTCCATCATGCTCACATACCAGTTGCAGTAGTACCTCCGGCTTCAGAAGAAACCGCCGAAGCACAAGCAAAAAGTGATTAGAGTTGGGATTAACTCAAACTCATCTTTATTCATTTCTTTACGTTTAACATATATTGTTTCATACTAAATGTACTTACAGTCAAACTAAGAAAACCATGAACACCTAAAATATATCTGTAATGTTAAACGTCTTGTTCTGATCACTCAAATAGGACGTTTGCATGATGGCGTCATTTGACTCTCACTACCAAGATGCTTCGCGAATTTTCTTTCTCATTTAAATTTGTATTCCCTCATGAGAATAGTAAGACAATTGGTACTAATTAACTGAACGAAAGAAAGTGTGCAAGGGAGTCTGGTAGTAGAGGTCAATGACGCCATTGTGCAAACGTCCTATTGCAACTGTTAATTAGAAATGAACTCAATCTAGCATGTGATTGATCAGAACATAATGGTTAACATTTCAGACGTACTTTAGCTGTTCCCGTTTTTCTTACTTTGACTGTAAAGTATGAAGGATTTTTATTCTCACACAGTGATTTACTATACAAAGAAAATGAACAGTGAAAATGTTCAAAAAGGGTTTGAATGTGATGATTAGCATGACTGAATAAAGTGGAATGAATAGTAAGAGTCTGTCTGCATTCTTTTTTAACTTGTGGATACAGGGGTGGATTCAGGAATTTGTTAGGGGGTATCCCAAATGAAGAAATGTATATATAGATGTTATGCATCGCTTCAAAAGAGCATGATTAATTACAGCGTTGGGAGTGGGGGTAACCAGTACACTGCAGGACACCCCATGGATCTGCTCCTGTGGATACACAAAGCCTAGAAACGAGTCAATGTGCTGGGTCTGAATATGCATGTATCAGTCAGTCATATGTTAGCAGATCAATTTTAAATGATTATCAATCATCTTATGTCATCTGCTTACAAATGTTACATTACACTGTTAAGATTGTGTAGTTCTAAAATTTTGTGCCCCCCCCCCCCC